TCAACTTGTGCGGTCCCACCCACGCCCACATGGCAAGGCAGTCGTGTAGGCGGCCGCAACTATCCGAGGCGCTGGAAAACTCAACCGCAGAGGGTCTGGAGCGAGGACTGTTTTTTAATGGCGGCGAATATTGTTTTGCGATGCTGGGTCACAGAAATCTCCTCCCACGGCGGCCACTGCTGAGGCCTCCGCCGTCTTCAGGGATTTCTGGGAATCCTGGAATCCCTGGGAATATCTGGTAATCCTAATAATCCTAGGACGCCTGAGGATCTCCAAGGGTTCCTAGGAATCCCAAGGGAATCCAAGGAGTCCTGGGGATTCTCATGAATCCTTAGAATCCCTTCGGAATCCCAAGGGAATCCTAAGTTCGAGGAGGGGAAGACGAGTATTGCCAGCCGAGAGCTTTTGGGGGGGGAGGGGTAGCGACAATAAAGACCCTCTGCTGTTACACGAGACGTTTGCAGAGCTGGAAAGGATGCCCGGGAAGCCCGCCAGCTCGGAGTGGAAAGCTGCGCGCGAACCCAGGAAGCGCTTCGGAAGAGCTGCGCATAGGCGTACGGAACACGTACTGGGAATGGATAAAGAAACGCTTCCAGGACAAGCTGCTGGCTCCAGCAATAAAGGGGCCCAAGGACACACACACACACACACACACAAATACACACAAATAAAACACATCCCCGTGTTTTCCCATATTGTGGGGGTTTTCGTCTTCCCCCCCACTTCCCATATTTTCCGATATTTTCAGGGGAATCGGCGATTCATAGTGTCTGTGCTTCTTTCCCTCCTGAAGCAAGGCGCTGCGACGCTGCCAACACGGCAACCGTAGAGGGGAGCTGGCCCACCCTTGCCTGCCGGCTTCCTATGAGTTCCCAAGGAGCTGTCCAGGAAAAGAAGAGCACCTGTTAGCTCAATCCAGCTGCTACGTCCCCCTGAACGCACCCTCTATCATAGCTGCACTTTGGACTACTTGTTTTGGTTCCCAGCTCAGCAATTTCCTACCCTAGGTGCCAGTATTCTACACGGCCTACGTGACGTCGAACACCTAGTGAACTTGCGGAAGTTGCAGTGGGTCCCGAATCCGATCGAAGACGCAAATCTCCGAACATCGAACAACAACGGCACTGGTAGATGACGCGGCGTACTGGACCCTGAGACCCCGTTGGATCCATCGGAAGACAACCCTGTGACCGAGCGTTGTGAATGCCATGACACTGGACCCCCTAACAATCCTATCAGTGTATTAAAGATGTGCTTACCATGTTTGAGAGCATGGTTCATGTTTAGGGCATGGTTTAAACATGTTTTGCATCTGGGAATCCTTTGGCTACACGCTTCCTCTCCAGTGATCGTCGCCCACAAACATGGTGAGAGCGGTCGGACGCGAGAGGGTGCGCGCGCCGAGCCGAACGGCTCGAGCCCCGAACAGAACCCAGGTCCGGGGCTGCAGCTCCCGAGCAGAACGGCCATCCGCCCCCCCCCCAAGGACCGAAATTACCAGCCTGGAGCATATCCCTATCCCTTTGCTGGGCACCTCCTCATCACGATGCCAATCTTAGGGATTCCCGTATTTTTTGAGGGCGAATCCCTAAGATTGTCATCGCCTTTTGGCGTGTCAATCGTAGGGATAGGGATACGTTCGAGGCTGGTAACGAAAGCCAGCTCCCTTGCTCCCCCAAGCGCACCACGCTATCCGCAGAGCCCCCGAAGGCGAGGAGTGCCCGCCCCCGAAGCGCGAGGCCCCCACCCCCTCCACGGGTGTGGAGGAAACGGGTCCTGGCAGAAACGAGTCCTGGACCCTCGTGGGCTTGCCTCGGGACGAACCTTTCGTCCTGGGGGGGTTCTTCGTGCACCCGGGGGCAGGGGAGGGCAACGCCAAATCGAAGGGAATCCAGCCGTGGCGACGAGGAGCCGCCCCGAGGTCCGAAAAGGAAGAACACACATTCGAACATGTCGAAGCTCGAGCCCTGTCGCTTCAAGCCGAAGCCTCCTCCCTCGTGGCGGCTGGCAACCACAACGAAAGGCATCGCCGGCAAGCCCCTTCTCGGGCCGATGGGGCGTCCAATGGGAGCAACCCCTCGCTTAACACGCCCGAAACGGGTACGGAAACTGGGCACGATGCCCAACAGCAAAGGCTGTCCAAACACGACAGCGGCCGCTGCTCGGCAGACGACTTCTTGCCTCAAGTAGACAACGTCCGCAACACCGGCAACGACCCCTGCTCAAAATGGGCAGGGGCTGCTGTCGGTATTCGCCCCCGCTTCCCCGTCACAGTTTCGACTCTCCCGGTCGAACCTCAGACCCTCGACGCGCGCATCTCGACTCTCGCTCCTCGCTGAGCGCACATCGTGACTCCGGCGCGCCACCGACACTGGCGCGGGAGTTGTTCGACAATTCCCCACCTGCGCAACCCGTAACTTCGCGTGAACAGATCTGGCGGGGGCGCAGTGGCAACGTGCCCCACGGACTCAACAGACAGCAACATCGTGCCGCACGGACT